AAAAAAAAAAAAAAAAAAACAAAAAACAACAACGATAGACAGTTGCTTTGGTACTTACCAACATTGCCTTCGCCACGTGCCGTTGTGCTTGCCGACAACAACACCAGCAATTGCAACAACAGCGTTACGGTGGTCGAGGGACGTTGCAACAATTTAAGCGTTGCATGCAACGAGCAGCGCCAGCTCGAGATTAGCTCTCGCTGGCCCCTGTGCCTCCGCGTTCGCTGTTGCGTCAATTGTTGGCATTTTGCCGAACTGCGCTGCTGCTTGATTGCCTGCAATTGTTGTTGTTGTTGTTGTTGTTGAAGATGCTGCTGCTGACTTCGATAATGTTGCTGTTGCTGTTGCTGATGACGTTGTTGCAAAGATGGTTGTTGCTGTTGCTTTTGCAGTTGCCTAATACATTGCTGCTCTAATGAGTTGTGCTGTTCGTTTTGCCGCTGATGTTGTTGTGGTTGTTGTTGTGGTTGTACATTGCATGCCATGATAATGGGCCCACCTAAAAGGAAAACAAAAGAGATATGTACATTGTAAAGGAGTTGTGCAAGCGATAAGAGAAATAGTGTATTAGATTAGTTGAAGTAGAGTGGGGATTTAATGAATCACGTGTGAGCGCCTATAAGTAGGCTAAGCAAATTTCCAGTTAAGGTAAGTTTAAAAATTAAAAATTCCATGAAATTGTGCGCTTAACTTTTGTTTCATAGAGCCAGCAAATATCCATATTAATTGCCCAGTTTACCGATTGAGAGCCGCGGATGCTTTCTTCGTCCTCGTTAGGCCTCAATGTAGGCTTCCCATCTAGAATCAATGCCAAGTACTTGACTCTATCACAAAGCTCCAGGTGTACACTTTCCTCCAATTAAAGGGAAGAATCGCGTGCAATGTTTTATTGTTCGTTGTGAACAAGTCGAGTTCCGTCCTATTAGGATTTGCATCGGGGCCGCCGGCCACCTAGTCAGTACGTTCAAAAACGGATTGGACCAAATTATTAGGGCATCCACTAAGATTATAATCCCCGCTAACGCAAACTTTCGAGCTCATAAAGTAGGTCTTTCACTACGACATTTCAAAGTAAGAGGTCAGAGAACACCACCCTGTAAAGTGCACTGCCCCAATCTGGCACGGCAGTTCTGTCACAGAGCACGGGATCTTAACAGTTAAAGCCAGTTTCGACCCATAGATTTTCAAGGGATCTGAAGATTGTCTTTGGAAGTAAATTGTTAGATGCCAATAAATGCCGAGAAAGGCCCCCCATAGTAAAGTCCTTATGTATCATGGCTTCCTTCCTTTATGTCTCATAAGTATGCCAAACGTACAGAACTCCGTATAAGCACTTCAGCCTTCTTGATTTTGGACATGCGGATACCTAGCCCTGGTTGGGGTAGCTCGGTTTTCTCGAGGTCTATCAATGCTTAACCTTCTAAGGTCAGAGAGCGCAGAGATTTACAAACCACTTGGCTTCTGAGTAGATAGTGAGAGTGGGTAACAATAAGTAACTAAAATACAATTGAATGATGAAGTGGGCGTAACCCTGGAATTAGAGAGGTCTCTACCAAGAAAAACTCAACCGAGCCGCTGGTAGTAGTCTTATAAAGCTTCGTGGAAATTAGGAAACACATCTTTGTTAGAGGTATTTTCACAACAAAAACGAAAAAAGGAAAGTATTTTGATTAAAGAGCCAGCGAGACTTTTTTGGAAGATTTTAATTCATGTGAAATCCGGAAATGCTAAAGCATCGACTAAGTGCTATCACCAGAGGGCGTCTGAAGCCCACAAATTCTTTCGAAGTGTGATAGGCCATTGGATGCGTGGCGCATGTGTATGTACATACTTATATAAGAAGCTATGTATGCAATTTCGCCTCTGCACCGTCCACCCTTTGCTCGTTTTACATCAACCTACATAAAAAATATACATTTCGCATAACCAGCCAACAACTTTATTGGCAGTTGTCGGCATTTTTTTTTTTCTACACCGTTGACGCCGATAAATTCACATTTAACACATTGTTGCTGTTGGCGTTTAGTAGCCTGCTTTTTGCCTTAACAATGTAGTTATGCATTCACGTTGCTGGATGTGTGTGCGTGCGTGCGCTTGTGGGAGCCCATTTGGGCGTACGTTTGGCATATTACTCCGCCTTCCGCTCAACACTAACGTTTATTTATGTTTGCATAGTTGTTGCTCTATTTGCGTTTAAGTGTGTGTATGTATGCGCATACATATATAGTACGTAAACATTTACGTTTGTGTGCGATTTAGTGTACTTCTGCCTACGCTTCACTGCTAACCGGAAATATATTGGCGGATGTTGTGATGTGCAACGCGTCGTTGCGTCGGCAATTTCGACCAAAGCGATTGCCAACAAAAGCAAAAGCGAACCGATACTACGCCCACACCTAGGCTCATGGTCATATATGTATGTAAGTAGTTGATTGAGAGACTAGCTTTGCATGAGTATGTATGTGTTTATGCATACAGACAGCCATAACGATTTCTGGGAAAACTGTTTTGCTACATCTTCAATGTATGTATGTATGTATGTATGCCTGTACGTATTGCTCAATTTTGAGTTTGGCCCAAACGGATATGTAAATATTTATGTAGAAAAAGGTTACTAACAGCTCGTAAAATAGGTAAATTTATTGTGTTTTTTCCTCTTTAATTTAATTTTATTGCGCGTGGCAAAGTTTATTGAAATGAAATTACATAATCTTTTTTTTACAATTTGACCTCAGAAGCTTAAGGCCAACAAATTGGTAGTACCGGAAAGGGCATTAAATGGCTCAGCACTTAAGAAATGAAGTTTTATCAATCATATATTAAGGACAAATAACTTCATTCGTTCGTTTGACGACCTTAACCCTTTACGATGTCACTACACACTGCAAACCAAACTTTAAACTATAAAATTCTAAAGAAAAAAATTGGAACAGATGGAAGGACCTATAAATTGACGTCACCCGCGAAAGAAAAATGGTTTTATGAGCTGGTTTGCCATCGCTCAGTAATCAAACCGCGCAGAGTACATGTATTAGAGAGATTCCTAAGAAACGCTTTTACCAGGAAAGTGAAAAGCTTTCTATACGCCAAAAAAATATGAATACGCTTATTAAACCTTCTGGCATCTACATACATATTTATTTAAGATGCGATATATTTTTTTAATTTTCGTTGTTGGTTTCTCCGAACGACAAATGACACTGAAGATGGCACAACACCGAAACCGGTTTGTCTCCAAACCAAGTTTGCTAAGGGATGACGGAAAAGCGTTCCACAATACATCAATATATTATTATTCAATTCTTCTTCTTCTTCTTATTTGGCACAAGTACCGTTTTTCGGATTCGCCGAGACCAAAAAGCTTCTCCAATTGCCTCTCTCCTGTGCGAATTTACGCCAGTTGCTCATCCTGCTTGCAGAAAAGATCTTTTCATTGGAGCGCCGTTGTAGATTTTTTTATGCGCTTTACTATGTTTACGTCGCTAAAAAGCTCTTACAGTTCGTCATTTCATCTTCATCGGTAATCATCGTACATGCGAACTGGGTCGTAAATCTGGCGAAGAATAATTTTCTCGAAAGCATTCAAAGCCTTTTCGTCTTTGTTTGACATTGTCCGCGGACTTTTAGAGCGTGATTTTTGTTTGTCGACAGCGGGTTCTACTTTTCAGTTGCTTATCGAGTCCAAAGTTGCATCCGTTGGCAAAAGCTATTATTGGCTTGATCTCCAAGCTGACGTTAGCCAGGCTAAGTCCACCGAATCAAGGCTCATTAAACTAACTACCTATAATGTCAAAAAACTGTAAACAAACAAATTAACCCTTTGAGATGCGACCTGAAGTATCTGTAAGTTCCCGCTGAGCGCAGCTCTCAATTTCATTAGACCGTTCGTTGCTTTAAATCCGCACATGAGTTTCAAGAAATTCCAACCGCTTAAAGCCCCCTTTTTAGAACTTTTTTACAACTTAAATAACATCAAACTTCTTCATCACTGCAGGCTCTTGTTCTTTGGTTTAATGTCATTTACAAAAAAAAAAAAAAAAAAAAAAAAAAAAATGCTATTCCTTTTGATTTATCATAAAGGACTATTACTTCCAGGTCAGTAGCCAATGTGCGATGCACTCAACAATGCTCAACCAATAAAAGACAAACAAACATATGCGCATAAGCAATAATATTTAAAATTTATTATTCAACCATTGATGACATATTTTTCCATAATAGCCAGGAGCGTTCACAAAACAAGTTGTTGCATGTTTTACACAAAACCAATTCGTTGCTGGTTCTGCAATTGGACGACATTGTTGCCTAAAGAGCTACATATATGTATTTGTTTTGATTGTTTATGTTTTTTTCATATATTTTTCTAAGTATTTCTTTCTCCACAAACTATGTACAACATATGTATGTAAGTACTACTAAATAAGTTGTTCTCTATTTAATGAAAATGTAACAGATTGCTACTATGGTCGTAGTTTGCCTGCGGCTGCATTTACGTACTCTCTTTTTTGTTGCTGTTGCGTAAATTTATTAACAAAGGAAATTGCATTTATTGAGTCTCAAATGTTGTAGCGAAACAACAGCAAAACAACTTACTTTGCTAGTAACATTTGTATATTTATATTTCTAGTAAGTACATTTGCGTAGGGCATCCCTTTTTTGCTCGCCAGTTATTCAGATTGCAATACATATATATGTATGTGAATATGTAAATATACACCTACGTATGCATGTAGAATTTGCAGGAAATATAGCCGGTTTTTTGCTTTTATCCATCAACTTTATGAAATTTCCTATCAAATTTAATTTCTTCTCCAGTGCGCTTCTCTAAGCAGAACATTTTTGCTGTGATTGTCTAAAAACTTGTTCTATGTGGTACGCATTTATATTCTTTGTTAGAAGACTTGCTATCTGTTGAGTTGGTTACCTATGGTTATTTGGTTGATGTTGACTTTCTAATCAACATAGATGCAACCAATAGGAGGAAGCGTACTTCATAATTTCATTTGAAATTTACTTTGGTGTACCATTCTTAGTAAAAAACTTATAATTTTAAGATAGATTGCTTCTGCGAAGCGAATTTTATACTCTACTTTCCGGTAGTAGAGGTTCGAATATAATTTTTCTGATGGCTAAACATCCAGTTCTAGGTCAGAATTTGGAGTCCATATCAAAGTTTAGGCAAAGCTTCATATTTTACTTAAGAAAATAAAGCTCGATATCTGAAGGAGAGGTATATGATATCTTCAGAGCCATGGGTTGGAGTTGTGGAAGTTTAATTGTATGCACCGATTACCAAAAACCTTCTAGCCCGCTAACTACTTTAAAATTAGCTTTCTGCTACTTAGGTCAACCGGAATATCTGGGAATCAGTTAGCTCTGACTAGGCTTCCCATGAGCCGCAAGCATTAATAAGAAGTACTTTCTTCTACGGGTTTTAGGTCCACTGTCAGAAAATAGTGAAGAAGGTAAGGTAAAAGAGCAGCTGCAGGTTGGGCTAAG